CTATGCTAATGGTTTGATTTGCAAAATTAATTAGTGCATTGCGTGTGTCGAAACATTAATGTAAAATAAAATAATATTTGCAATACATTTATTTTTTATAATATTACATATGCTATTTTTATGACATTTTGTTTGCTCAAAATAATATTATTCACATCGCGCTTTACTCAATGAAAGAAGATACCAACTTAATTCCACTTTTTATTATTCTAAAACTTTTTTATGTATTTTTATATGTTTCATACATAATATTTTTATCTTTTTGTTTTTTATTTATGCATAAATAAAAAATAAATTATTATGGCTAAAAATGTTCCAATTTTAAAACAGTTAAAGATAAATTTGATAATTATTTATTTTAAAATTTATTTATAAAATATTACATAATGTAATCAAATAAATATGCATTTCAAATGCAGAATTTTTTTTATTTGACATTTAAAGTAATATAAAAAAATTATATACAATATATTATATATTATTTTTTACATATATTATTTTTTAGATACACATGTTATTCCTGAATTTTATGACTTTCAGTTTTGTCTTCTTGGTGTATTATAAAACATACAATATTTTTCCACACATTTTTCGTGCTATATCTTCCTGTATGCATTTTGATAAGAGTACAAATTTATTACAAAATAAGCATTACAAAAAAAAATATGATTGCAGTTATCAGATAAGAGTAGATAAGAATAATAAGTATACTAAAGTGAATGTTCTGTAATGATAGCATTTTTATTAATACAGTGTATAATCAAAGATTATTTTAATAACGAATTTAATTATGTATGAGAAAACTATTTTCCATGAAATATCATTTTTGAAAAATAATAACAAATGTCTCTTTACGTATACTATCTGTATTCTATGTGCTCCATTCTTTACGTTTTATTTTCATCTTCCCATAAAAGAAGATAGAAGCAAACACATTTCGAAAAAATATAATCACGGAAATTTTTATCCCGCCTAGAACATTTACGTAACATTTGAATAATATAACAAGCTTATAAAAAAGAAAAACGTAACAAGCTGTCATACATCATATAGACGCTTATAGATCACATAGAATTATCCTTATTCTTTACTGATTATTGATGAAACGTATTTGTGTAAACATATGTACACGTGTACATTCTTTTCTCCAAAAAAATCATGAAATTTTAAAATGGTTAGTCGGCAATTTCTTCTGTTTGCCGGAGAGATGGAGATTTAGCCAAAAAACGGACAGGGGCAATCGTAATTATGTATAACATCGCATATTTATTTAATTCATGAATTATAGGAAATGCAGTCTGTCACAAAAACATGATTTAAAAAATTTATTTTAAAAATATATTATTTAAATTTATTTAAAGATATTAAAGCAGATATATAAATATGATATATGCGCTTCAATACATTCCGAAACCATTTACCAGTTATTTTAACTATTTAACCATCATCAACTTAAATACGTTATTTTGTAATGTAATTTTTATATTACTCAAGTCAACATGCATATATAAACAAGAAATGTTCTTTTATTCGCTGATTTAAGAAAAGATAATTCTTTTATTTTTTTTCTCTGTATTCTCTATTCTCTGATGTTCTCTGATTTTTTTCTGTAATCATGCGAATGTCATTGTTTCATGTATTTATTTTTATTTATTTTGTACTTTAAACACAAACATATTAATAAACAGGTTTATCATCTCGAATATATTTTGTATAAACTAATTTTTTATGCATTCATCATTAAAGCATAATTATGATTTCTCAAGCAGAAATATGTAGTAGTTTATAAATATCATTTGATATCATCGTTTCATATTATACTTTTAAAAGACTTTTGCATCTTACAAGAATCGATTTACACACTTGATGTTTAGTATGTACGTCGATGCGATAAGCAACAATCGCAATGTTAGTAAATTTTTATTGTAGCTATTAAGAATATATCTTTAAATAAAAAAAATATTAAGCATAAAAACATAATTTAAAAAAAAACCAATATAAAATCTTGCATTGCAAATCTGTTGCAAGTTTATAAGCATCAATAATTTATATCAACATAATAAATAAATTCAAAAATTATAAAGTAAATTCTATATCTCATTTTCTGAGATCCTATATAATTTTTAAATAAGTCATGATAAAAATCGATAAAGTTATTAAGTAAAAATATGCAATAATAACAATAACAATTGTCGCTACATGTTTTTACACATACACGTCATGTAGAAAGAAAATTATAATTTCTATGTCTTCCTCATGATTTGCAAAATCATGCTTCAGTGGAATGCATATCACCCGATACATCCCGATACATCAATGTCTATATTCGCGATTATGCGATACTCCACAAAAGCAATATGCCACGAGGGTGATTGCGGCGCATGTATTGTGGCGGCGGAAATCAAAGGTGAAATCATGGTTGTGAATTCCTGCCTCGATATTA